CTTTTGTCTCTGGATCCTGGCCCTGTGTGACGAAGTGGGCTGCAGAGGAGAGGAACGGCCTGCAGGTGATTGTGATGCAGATTGCAGTGTGCACAGACTGCCTCCTCCCTCCCCCGCGACTGCACCAGGCCATGTTTGATTTCTGAGAGGCTTCTGCACTGGTCTGAATTAGATCCAGGCTCGGTGTTGTCTAAGCCTCTGCCTGAGGGGTGGGGGCATGGGTGTGGGTGGAGGCATGTCTGCCAGGTGGCTGCCTCCCAGAAGTGGCCATCTATGACGAGACTCCATGTTCCAGGCACTCTGGGGTAGGTCACTCGGCAAGCCTCCTGGCCTCACTGCTGCATGGAGACTGCTGCATGGAGAGTGCCACTGAGGCCACATCCCTGGCTGGCCAGAGGAGGAACAGGCATTCCAAGTGTCACTCACCCACAGAAAAGGTGAATCCTCAGGCAGGATCCCACGTCTTGAAAGATGATGTGGCATACAGCTAGTGGTCCCCTAAAACTCATTCTGGCCCTTCTTCCATGGTAATAAAAATCCCGAATTTTAGCTGGGCACATGGCTGACCACAAGGACAACACGTCCTGACTCCCTTACAGCTCAGTCTGTGACTAATTCTGACCAATGACGTGGGAATGGAGCATCATATTGTAGCTTCGAGACCCTTCCTTGAAAGATAACTAGGGTTTGTTCCCTTTTGCTGCCCTTTTTTTAGTGTCTCCATCCTAATGTCTAGACCTTGGACGTGAGGGCTGGAAGTCCAGCCACAATCTTGGACCAGGAGGGCCACGCTCTGGAGGAACAGCGAGTGGGCAAGAGCCTGGCCCTACCTGGCACGCCAGTGCTGCTGGCCTTCCTCTGGGCTTTTACATGAGACAGAGGAAGTTCTAGCTTGTTCAAGTCGCCACTATTTTAGGTCTCTGCTATTGCAGCAAGTCAAATGCTAGCTGAATGGGTGGACTTGAGGCTGACAGATCTGAGGCACAGACATGGCTCTGCTCCCCCTCCAGGCTATGAACTGGAAGAGGATGAGCTCTGAGAATGTGGAACTGAGACGGCACCGGCCACACAAAGGCTGCCTGGACACCCACACAGCTGAGGCTGGGAGCTCCAGGCAGCAGCCTCACCTGCCTCCCTGATGCTGGGTGCTGGAGAGGGGGGTCCCCCATGGATGATGCTCTGCATGGGACAGACAGCCCACCTGAGTGTGGACCCCAGTCCATGTGCTCTGCCTGTTATTCCTGGGAGACCGTCCCCATGTGCCATGGCCCACCTGCCCACCCCCACTCCACAGCAGGGGCCTGGTCATCTTCCTTCCTGGCCCGTCACTAGGACCAGGCAGCTCTGCAGCAGCCTCCCCCAGCTCTGTTTTCCCTGCAGCCGCCCTGGTTCTCTGAAAGCAGGGAGAGCTGCCTCGGCATGGAGGGGTGGCGCCAACTTGAGGAAGTCTTGCCAAGCCCCTTCTCCCAGCACAAAAGCAGTGTCGCTTGGATTGCTATAATTATCTGAGGGAACTTCTAGGGTAATTATGGCCATTTACAGTATGCCTAAAAGAGCTGGGTGCCTCCAGGAATAGCAGGGAGTGGGGTGGAGGAGCGCCAAGGATGCGCTTCCCCATGAAGGCTTTTGCATCTGTGGAGAGGACGTGAGGAGCATCCAGCAGAGACCAGTACCGAGAACAGCCCCCCTCCCCCGCATTGGTGGCCAGCACTGGGTGGGCAGGAAGGGGCTCCAGGAAATCCCAGTCTCTGACTGCCCTCCTGGAAGAATACAAAAGTCTGGCCTGGCATGCATGATAAGCAAAATCTAGGGTGCAGCATTCATGGCCCACCCACCCAACACATCCTGCTGGCTGAGAACCAAGCCTGCTTTAGAATTCAGTCAATAAGTTCTTGCTGGACCTGGAGGGAATGGACCCTTTCCTGGTGACCCACACATCTCCCCTAGCAGGCAGCTCCTGAGCACCTGGGGTTGAGGGTTTGTGGATTCAGCAGAATGGGCCTCTGCCTGACACTCTCCCCTCTAGAGGCCTGTCACCAGCCCCTTGTGGCTAGGTATGGGTCACCATTGAATGGCCAGGACCCAGGCATCTGTCACCACACAACAGGATCCAGGTACTGGTTGTGAGAAGCTGTCTCCAGGCCATGTCTGCACTGATCTGTCTAAAATGTACCTTCATCTCCTAACTTACCAGCTCAAACACCTGCAGGAACTGCAGGCTGCCCAGGAACAAGGTCCTTAACTGCACGAAGTGGTCAGAGTCCCCACACTCTGCTTCGGTTGGTGGTCTGCAAGTCCCACATAAGCACCCCACATGTCAGCTCTCTCCCCGCTTTGCTCACCCCATTGCTCTGTCTGGGAGGCCCAACTGCCACTCCCTCTCCGTGCCCAACCAAGTGCCAGCCACTGCAGATGGTCCTGCCCCAATGGCACCTCAGGAGGTAGCTCCCCCAACAGCTCCCCCCTGCTCTATGCTGCAGACCACATTCCCTTCCGCATTAAAGTCATCTGTGCTTTTGTCTCACCTCCCACAGAACAGACTCCTAGGGCAGGGTCCATGTCTCTATCTTTGATTCCATAAGAACAAGAAGCCCACAGCCAGAGTGAGCACCCCAATGTCAGCAAGGCACAGGGCCTAGCTCTGTGCCTTCACCACCTCTCACTCTAAGGACGGACCAGCTTGAGACAAGCTCTCTGTCAGCCCCCGATCAGCCCTTTCTTATGCACTGGGAACCCTTGTTCCCTATGCCTGCTGAGCAGATTTCAATTCATGTAGAAGTGCAGGCTAATGGCCTGGGTGTCCACCTTCCATCTAAGACAGGGAGTCAAGTACACGTAGCAAGGCAGGAACTGATGGAAAAGCCAAGTGAGCTAACAGGTCCTCCCTATATAGGGATCTGAACCCGTGGCCTTGGTGTTATCAGCACCACACTCTCCGAAGTGAGCCACGGGCCAGCCCTAGATTTGTATTATATTTTAATTCTGTTTTTCATAAATTTTTTAAAGTACCCTCGTATGTGCTCTACAGGCGTCATTCCAGTGATCCTGACCCCACACCCTGTGGGTGAACCAATTATTATCCACATCTTCCAGAACTCAGGCAGGACCAGATCATGTGACTTATCCAAGACCACTTGGCTAGCAAGAGTCCAGATTCGAACCCAACCTCAGTCTGTCTCCCTCCGATATCTGTGCTTTTAACTTGAAAAAGTCTTTTGGTGGCACCTTCCCCACCAGGACACATCACTTCTAATGGACTGTTGAGGGCATTAAACATGGCTGTTGACCTGCCATCTTCCACTAATTGGGCCTTCTCCTATTTTAATACTATCTCCTGTCTCACAGTCAGTGTCCAAGAGACACACCTTCTGGAAGGAGGCTGATTTCCTTTCTAGAACCAATGTTTGGCCAAAACCTCACCCACTGCAGACCAAGGTGACTGTGGCCTCAGGAGGAAATGTTCCAGAAGAGACATCACGACAGATCTCTCTTCTCCTCTGGGATTCTGGACCAGGAAAGGATTGCAAAGGGAGTGGAAGCTGACCACTGCTGGCCAGGGAAGAAGGCTGTGGATGTGCTGAGAAAGCCTGCCCGCTGGGCCCCCGGAAGCCATCTTTATGCTCTATACCTGGCTGGTGAGCATCAGGCACCCTGGGAAGGAGGCCTTGAGACCTCTTCCAGGATGGCCAAGCCTAGCGCCCAGGTCTTCCTAAGGGCACGTTCCTTAGAGAGAGAACCAGGGACTCACCCATTCTCCCCACCAGGGTCCTCGGCTGCACCCATGTCAGGTGCTTGCTAGAACCAGGGCCCTTGGGCCATAAACATGAAAGTCCAACTTAGGGGCCAGGAGCCAAGCTGAAGAGACCTGGCTTGGCCACCTATACGCTGTATGATGCCAGTGTGTCTGCTAACCTCTCAGTCCTCTGTTACTCATCTGCAAAACAGGAAGCATCATCGTGCCCACCAAAAAGCACCAAAAGAGAAAGAGAAGGCTTAACCCAAAGCCAGGCACATGAAACATACCCAGTAAATGCTGCTCTCATTTCCATGACGGTTCCCTTGTGAACAAGCAACCTCTGGCCCTGTGAGCCAAACCATGGCCACTGGTTCCACCATCACAGGAAACAACACCTGGGGCCAAGTTGGTATCCAGGTCAGGGCTCAAGGCAGTCAGGTTAGGTCACAATCATGCTCTGTATGGCCAAGGAGCAGGGACTGCCTCTCCTGACACCAGGATGCAACCTCACGCACCTCTAGTGCCCAGGCAGAGCACTTTCCCTTAAAATTAAATAAGAGCTCTCAGCAGAGAACACTCGAACTCTTTGCCAGGTGAAGAGAACTAGAAGGTTACTTTTAATATAAATCTTTCCAAGAAGTCCTCACATAAACAAACACCTTGAAAAGGCAGTCTTCACTTCTCTGGTGCTGCTCTGCTCCCAGGGTGGGGTGAGGGTGGGGAGATGAGTCCTCAGGGACAAGAGCCTGCAGGGGCAAGACAAGCCCCACAGCTAAGAGGGAGGCTCCTGCACACAAGAACAGAGCATGCCCCGTGAAGTCCAGCAGCCACACTGCACAGCTCCATGCATCTGATCAAAGGCCCTTATTTTCTGTCTGTCCCCTTTGGCTGGTTATATAACTCCACTCGCCCGCCTGCCTGCTGCTGCTGAGTTATGCTACACGTAGCACTGCCTTCTAACCAAGTTGTTATCAGGACACTTCATTGCCACCCCACAGGTTCAACACAACAAAACAACACCCTCTTGGTGTGATCAGAGTCACTCTCCCAAAGAGCACCCTGAGGCTTTTATTTCCTAACTCTGCTGGTCACAAGAGAGTGACAGGACCTCCCCAGAAAGACCGCCCCCAGGGAATTCGACTGCTTCCAGTCCCAAAGTGCTTAGGAAGACCAGATGCCTTGCCCCCTGCCTCCCACAGTGACCACCTAGTGACCACAGAAATGAGCTGCCGGCCATGAATGCCGAGCTTTCATGGGCCCCTACCTTTCATGTAGGCCTCGATCTTCCGGATGAGCTCATAGGACTTGGAGCGGTCGAGCAGGGTCCTGATGGCAGGGAGGGGGTCCAGGACGATGGTCTCTGGGTGGGCATCGATGTATTCCTGAAAGGAAAGTACACTCCTACTGGTTAGGGTCAGGAGGTGGGTGTGGAAACGATGAGGAGGAACAAGATTTTAACTCCCTGCCCTCAGCGCATCCACCACCCCCGGCCCACCCCAGCAGCCCTCATTTCTGTTTAGGGCATCATATGACTTTGGTTAGACCAATCAGTGCTTGCCGCCCCTTGGGGCTGCTGGCTCAGGAGAGGTCATGTGACCCTGAGTCGGTCCAATCAGAGATAGGCTCAGGGCTCCTGCTAGGAACACTGGGACAGGCACACTTTTGGTCACAGAGAAGGAGGAAGCCCAGACTGGGCAGCTGTGAACAGTCACCTTGGGAACTTGTGGAGAGGCCTGACTGAGGCAAAATTAAAAAATGGGGCCTAACTGGAGAATGACAAGTAAATACCAACCGAACATGAGGGACTTAATTAGCTGTAACTAATTTCAGGCACAGGAAAAAAAAAAAAAAAAATGGAGACCTGAATTCAGAAAACAGAGCCTGGAAAAGGAGAGCAACCACATTCTGCTCATGCTGCTCAACCCCTAGATAAAGCTGCACCTGAACCCAGATCTCTCCATGTGCTGATTATGCTCAATGAGAGGGGTGGCTCTGCACCCTGCACTGACAGGGACACTGAGGCAGGGCCAGGGACATTGGAAGATACCGGGACTCATAGGAAACTCAGTGGGAAGGTGTGTTGGACAGAAGCTGCCACGGGCTGGCCACGCAGCACTCTGGGCCTCCACTTCAGTACCTACTAGCTTCGTGGGAGGCACTACAGACATGCAAGAAAAACCGTACAAAAATCGGTCTTTTAGGAATTTACAATCTTCTTGGGGAAATACCACTAACTTACGTGGGGAAAAAAGACTATCATCTGTAACAGAATTTGATAAAATACAGGACAAAATGTTTCCAGGAAAACAAGACGAGCTGAGACAGAAAAGCCTGGGGTATCCAGGCCCTCCCACTCGTCTGCTCTATGACTTCAGGAGTCCTTGGTGGGCCAGAGCAACCGGGGCGGACACAGCAAATGAGACCATCCCTCTGGCTCTAAACTCTGAGTTCAACGACAAAATTATGGAATGCTAGAGTGACAAGAAAGGGTTGCAGCAAAAGGCTGGGCTTGAGGAAGACCATTGTTCAAGTCCTAACTCGCCGGCATCTGTGCATGTGGCCGTATTTTGAAATAGGGTCTTTGTACGTGTAATCCAGTTAAGATGAGGTCATACTGGGTAGGGGGGTGGGCCCTAATCCACTGACTGGCTTCCTTATAAGGTGAGAGAAATTTGGACACAGATACACATGGAGAAGGCCAGCTGGAGCAACACATCTACAAGCCAAGGAACGCCAAGGCTTGCCCGAAACAACCAGAAGCTAGGAAAGCGGCATGGAAGAGACTCACCCTCAGGCTCCAGAGGAGCCAACCTCACTGACGTCTGGATTTCAGGCTTTTAGCCTCCAGAATTGTGAGAGAATACATTCTGTTGTTTTAAGCCATCCTGTTTGTGGTACTTGGTTATGACAGCCCTAGGAAACCAATACACCAGCTTGACTCATCCACTGCCACCCCCACCCCTGCACCCACGGCGCCCCCTCCCCATCCTGTCCAAAACACCAGGCTGTGAGGCCAGCAGAGGTCGGGGGCGGGGGGAGTGCCCACAATATTTCCTTTCTAGTAAACCTTATCAGTGAAAAGAAAGATCCATTTGGAATTACTTTTTCAGTGACCCTATTTTAGTTCACAGGGATCACTTTTAAGGGCACTCAAAACAAAAGCCAGAGATTCATATCCAATTCTTGTCTGAAATCTGTCTGCCCTTGTATTTCACACCAGAGTATCTGGTTATGGGCTCCTTTCTTTTTCTCTGATTGTTTAAAAAACTCCTCAGTCTGGGCTGGCCAGTTAGCTCAGGTGGTTAGAGTGTGGTGCCCATAAGTCCAGGGCTCAAATCCTGTACCAGCCAGCTGCCAAAAAAAAACTTCCTCTGTCCCTAAGTGGTGGCCAGCGTAGCACTTGGGGAGGCCTTGCATCGGGTCCTTGCTCCCACGAATTCTAAGGGCCACCTGCTGTCACCCCTCCGAAGTTCCTCTCTCTGCACACACACGCTATGGACTCAAACACAGAACGGAAGCTGCCCCCACAGCTTCTGCCTCCACCTTTGTCACCTCAGCCACTGGCCAGCTGTTTGTACAACGGAGCCAGGCACTGAGGCGGGAGAGTCCATGTTTGCCACCCACACGGAACTTGGGGACCAGCCGAGAGGTCTCCTTAAGGGAAGTCTTATCTGGAGCTGCCCTCAGACCAAGCAGCCGTATCCAGTTCCTCTCTCCTGACAGTCTCGGCCTCACCCAAGAGCCTGCGCCCGAGGACCCGCCTCTCACCAGGGGGATCCCCAAGGACAACCACCCTCTTGGCACCATTCCTTTATCAGAGCTTGTTCTGTTAAAGCAGGTCTATGCTTCCATGAGAGCGTGTCACCTGTGAGACCCTCCCCACCAGGACTCACACATATGAATGAAATCATATTAACATCCTAATGCTAAAAGGTCATCCACTCAACAAATGTCACATCAGTGACACTGCTCAGGGCATTGTGCAGGGTGCGCCAGATACTCGGATCAGTGAAAGCCACTTACACTTTGTTCCACTGGATCTACAACCCCGGCCAATTAATTCACGTTCTGAGTTATGGACCGAAAATGCACAGCTGTCCTCACTCCCCTCCCTTCAAACACACCAGGAGCAGCCTGGTGTGGTGGGAAAAGCATGTGACCAGCAGGCAAGAAACCCAGCCCCCCCGTGTCATCGCCTCTTGGTGTCACCTTTGGGCAAGCCATTTGGCTTCTCAGGGTCTCAGTTTCCTTATCTGTGACATGAGAGTTACTGCAGATGAACTTTAAGGTCTTTGTAAGGATGGTCTCAAGTTCTGAGAACCTAAATTGACTGGAGAAAACCAAGGGGCCGTGTTTGTGGAGTCGGACTTCAAGGCTGGACAGGGGAGCTGTTCTAGAACAGGACGGACAGCCACTTGCTAGAGGCATTACAGGGAACAGCAGGGCCACATACGTGCTGGCGGCCTTCCTTCACACAGGAGGCAATATCGGAGATGCTCGCTTGATGGGCCACCCATTTCTGCCCCAACAACTGAGGCCACTCAAGACACAAGACACGCTCCTACTTCCCCCACGAAAATCCCTCCCAGTCCCCCAAAAAGCTCAGTGTGCTCAATAACACAAAGCTCACCCTGGTCCCCCATTTGTGCTTTAGGGCAGTGACCTTTAAAAAAGAGAACAGAATCATTAAAACATGAATTTAAGCCAAACTCATGAGGGAAAGAAGCAACAAGAAACCAAAGGGAAAAATATCTGACAAGCAGGCACCAATGAGCTTTTGACCTGGCATGTAAGCACCAGTATTAAGAGAAGAATTATTCCTCAACACAATCTCTTTTGGGATGGGGACAGAGAGTGCAAAGAGTTTTTCCGATGGTCCTGCTACCCACAAGTGGATTTTCTTCCAAGCTTTCCAGCTTATCTATTGTATCAAAGACCTCATCTGTTTTCCACAAGTCTCTTAGAATTACTGACAAACTGCTGGAAGGGTGAGCACTGTGTACCATTTAATCACCACTCAGAGGAACAAAGGCCCAGACGGTCTCCATGGAAAATGGTAAACACACATTCTCTTGGAGGGTGCCTGCATGTTGCAGGATACCTAGAGAGAGATCCTGGAAGTTAATGAGGAGGAACCTGCTTTAAGCAGAAACATATAGCTCTGGCCAGGAGGGCCAAGAGGGCTAGGAGGGGCTTGGAGAACGCCCACTGTTTGTTAGAGGGGATGGGGGCAGGGACCAGCCAGGTGCCCACCCAGAGCACAAGCTCCCCCAGGCTTTTCTAGATGCCCCAATCCAATAGGACGAGGCAACAGTACACCCAGCCCTCTGCTGGCTAGGGGGAGTCAAGGTTTCCACACTGAAAGTCTAAGCCAAATCAGAGGACAAGATGAACATCAGAGATACTAGTTCCTCAGCAGCCCTTACGGGCAGGAAAGGAGACACAGGGATTTGGTCTCATCTAACAGGAAATGCCATCAGAGGCCCTGAGATCAAATCCTGCCTTTACCACTTACTTTCTGGGAACAAGAAGCTGGAGTTAACTCTCTGAGATTCCTCATGTGTAAAACATCCATTTTGTACAAAGCTGATCAGAGGGTGCCACTGTGGGCATCACGGAGATCAGGGACGTGAAAGGAGTTTGTAGAAACAAAACCAAAAAGGATTCTCATTATTCTGCCACACATGGACTCTTAGGGCCAAACCTGACCCAAGGCTCTGGACTCACCCTGCCCTGCCCCATCTAGCAGACTGAGGGGCCCAGCTCTGCTCTTGGGATAGGGAACTGGGCTGTACTGACTGGTGCCAATCCTCCTTCCAATGCCTGGAGCACGACATGATCCTCTGGCCCACAGTAGCCCAGGGTCCAGGCAGCAGTCCTCTAGGGACAGCTCAGGTGCTACCAGGGGAGCCCACTGCACGAGCTGAGGTCGGGTGGCCTGCTCCACATGGGGACGCAGGAGACTCACCTGCAGTGCTTGCCCCTGGGTTCTCAGGAGGCAATGGGGGCTCTGTGGTATTCGCCCAAAACACAGCATGTCCCTTTCTAGAAAGTGGTGATTCATTTTTAGCGATGACTACTAAATTACTTACAGATTAAATGTGATGCCTGGAATTTACGTCAAAACAAGCAGGTGCAGGGAGGAGTGGGGAGAAGTAGGTGAGGTTCAGATGAAGTGAGAGTGGCCACAACTGCCGGCTCGTGAAGCTGGGTGGCGGTCCCTGGGCATGCACTACAGGGTTCTCTCAACTGTTTTTACATTTTCTGTAATACAAAGTTTGGGGGGAAAATAGAGTGAGGGTAAACTAGTCTTCCACACCCTTAGTTGTGCCAGAAATGGAGTCAAACACCAACACTCCTTCAAAAAGGAACAAGAGGCAGC